TGTGCTAGCAGCAGGTGGCCAGCTGGCAGCAATCAGCTGTGCTTCATGCTCTCTGCTGCTCACTGGCTCACTGCTGCGTCAGGAGTTCTCTGACTGCAGGGTCCTGATCTTGCAGCCTGTCCCAGGGGCTACTAGCACCCAGGCTGAAAGCACACCACTGCCCTGGGGAAGATGGTTCATGGCTGCTCACCCATGTCATGAGATCTTCAGTGTTACATTTCCTTTTTGCTGTTTCTTCTATGCATTGATGCCCACTGGTCTGCTTTCCTCGCTTCTCTCCTGCTACCTTCCATCTCAGGCTAGGGACAGTCCTTCCTGATGGTACATGGCCTACAGGGTAGTCAGAAGTTTGCTTGGCTCTTTACTCAGAGGTCAGCTGACATATTATCATCTGATGTACTGAGAGGATCTCAACAATCCTCTGTGCAGAGGCAGGAGGATCAAGTCAGCCAACAGATCCTTGCAGAGCAGCGGAAATATCAGGTGCAAAGCCAGATCTGCTGGGATGAACAGGGTCAGGAGTTCTGCTGACTCCAGCGCTGCAGCAAGACAGCTTTGTCTTACCATTAGTTTTAGGTGTCAAGGGGAATATAGGGAGTAGCCCTTTAAAAAGAGGAATTCTGGGGCCAGCAGAAGGCATTAGGGAGGCATTTCCACAGGATGGTCATTTGGGCAGGGGCAACGGAAGAAACAGAAAGGATTTTAGATCAGGTGAGGTCCTTGAGAATAACGTGTCATCATAATTCTGTGCATGGGTTCCTGCTGTTAATGGAACCGCCTGGCCCTTCCAGATGAAGGCTCTATGCAAAGACAGCCGCTTCAGTGCTCCAAGCTGTACTGCTCACATGCCAGCTGCGGTCATCTTTGGAGGAAGTAGCAGCATCAGGTCTTCCCTGAACATTGCAGGCTGCCACAGCTGAAGATAGAGGGGTCACTTTCACTGGGAAGGTGCATAGCTGAAGTGAGGTAGCCTGCCTGGATGTAGAACTGCTGCTGGGTGATGCCTTGTTCCTGGCTATGATGGGTCAGAAATTCCCATTAACTCATCACGTCACCACAAAGACTTCTATGCCAGTGCTTTATAATATGGTCCTAGACTTACTTTGTTTCTGGGGGATATGTACTAAACACTCTGCATGTGGGAAGCTCAGGTACTTGGATATTAAAATATCCCAGGACACCAAGTAAATATTGTTTACAGTGTGTAAGTACTGAATAACACAGGGGTGGGCAAAATGTGGCCCGTGTGCCAGATGCAGCCCGCCAGGCCAAACTATCCAGCCTGCAGAGCCCCTAAAAAATGTAGAAAATGAATATTTATCTGCCCCTGGCTGCCTGTCATGTGGCCCTCAATGGCTTGCCAAAACTCAGTAAGCGGCCCTTTGCCCGAAATACTTGCCCACCCCTGGAATAACACCATGGCAATGCCCTCATGTCCCCTTTATACCTAGGGGATATTAAAGGGTAGGGATGGTGTTTTGGATTCTGTCTGGCATTTGCGTGAGGGGGCTTGAAGTAGAGGTTCTTTGGATTCCCTGGGTAGAAAACTGCTTGCAATACAAGGGACTAGATTCTGGTCCAGGAGGAAGTTAAGGGCTGGGTACAAAACAGGAATGCCTGTTACTTTTCTCTGTTGAGGAATCTTTAGCTCTAAATCACTACAGTGGAGACAAGACTTCTAACGTACAAGATCATTATAAAACTCACTGTTTTATAGGCTTCGCTAAGGAGAAAGAGAAAGGGCTCAAACCCTCTGAAAACAAGGGACTGGAGTAAATTTGGGGGCCATTAAAGGAGAAGGTCTCAAAGGGACTGGGAAGCCAGTGAAGGACCAGATAATATAAGGAAATCCCAGTAACTTCTGCAGGCAAGGCCTGTAGCTAGATTGCGGGAGGACAGACCAGGCAAATGTTTCTTGAAAGGCCATTTCTGCCTGACTTCAGACTAACACAGCTAACCAACTGCCTTAACTCTGTGGCCAACCCAGGACAAGATGGAGGGATAGTACTGAATAAAAAGGCTGGAAAGTTCTTCATATGAATTACCAGCAACAGGAAAAGTGTGTCCTGGACAGAAGAATATGGGTGAATTGTGAGAGGGGTCAAGGATCTCCAGGCTCCACTGAGGCAGCTGTGCTTAGCATATCTGTTCCTAGAACTCAGAGGGTGGGAAAGTGAGCTGTGAGGCTGAACCCCACAGCAACTGCTGTGATAGCTCCTGAATCTTGTTGTTCTGGTGCTTCAGGCAATGTATTGATAAGAAATATTTGTTGAACAGGGGATCATGCTGCTTGCTAGCGACTGCAATACTTAGTATCAGAAGCACCCTGCTGCTGTTATCAGTGAACAGGCAGTCTCCTTCAGCTGGAGATGGTCAATTGTTTCTGAAGTACATTGATGATTGTGGGATTTGGCCCCCACCCCATCAAGGATCACAATGCCTCTGCCTGCAGCTGGTGGCTTTGTTGCACATGCCTCAAGGATAACCCCGCCTTCAAAGTTTCATCAGTAGCAGCTTGATTGAGGCCCCTTAGTCATGAGATCAGCATTTTCATTGAGCTTCTATGCCTCAGATGAAAGCCTTGCTACTTCCTGGCACCTGCAGCAACGCTACTGACATTCACTTTTGGAACAGAGCTCTGTTGTTGTGTGGGCAGCACACGCTCTTGCACACAAGGGGAGGAGTTGGTCTGTTCACTGACACCCAAGAGCAAGTGATCCCAAATGGAGGCTGCTTCCCTTTAGGTACCTGTTAAAAAGTAACTTGGTCAGGACTCTGTCTACCACTCCCAAGCCAACGGGTCAGTGGAGCTGTTTGATAGAACCCTTAAAGAAATGCTACAAAAATGTACAGCCACAGATGCCCACCACTGAGACTAATTGCTCCCAACCCTGCTACTACTGCCTGGGAGGTACCCCAGACATCAACAGGGTTTTTCCCCTTCAGGCTGCTCTATAGCCAGCAATCCTAGGGAATCCTGGATTTCATCATACAGGAGATGTGGGAAGAGCTACCCCATCAAGCTGATAAAGTGGTCTCATATGTACTGAATCTACAGGAGAAACTTAAACTGGTGGGTGAATTTGCCCAGGAAAACCTACAATGGGCCCAAGCCTCACAGGAAGTGCATTACAACAAACATGTGCAGCTCTGCAAATTTAACACAGGGATCAGGTGCTCTAACTTTTGCCATCCTCCATAACAAAATTGATGACTTGCTGGTAGGGACTGTACAAAGTGATCCTGCAGGTTGGGCCATTTGACTAAAGGTCAGGCAACCGGTCTGGCAGAGGTGCCAGCAAATCTATCATGTCAGCCTCCTGAAGCCAAGCAAGGCTCAGGAGTACCTGTTTATAGCCCGCTATAGTCCCAAACCAAGGCTAGGGCTGCAGGCAAGTTTGGCACCACAGGTGGGAATAGTGCAGTTTGGGATCAACCTCACTCCAGAGCAACTGAAGCAAGCCCAAAGGCTGGACTGCTCATTCCCTGGTGTGTTTTCATCACATCCCAGAAGAACCAACCTGGTGGCTCATCAGATCAAAATGAAACCAGGAAGTACTCTCAGGGAAAACACCTGTGCCCTGCCCCATAGAATGAAGGAGATGGTAAAGCAGGAGCTACAGGCCATGCTGGACCTTAGAGTTATTGAGGAATTACACAGCAACTGAAGTCTGATTGTACTAGTCCCAGAGTGGGACAGCACTACACAGTTCTGCATTGACTTTTGAAAGGTCAATGCAATCTCAAAATCTGATGTGTACCTGAAGCCGCAGGTCAATGAGTCACTGGACCAGCTGGGAGCTGCCCGGTACATTATGACCCTCAGTCTGACAAAAGGATATTTGCAGATCACATTAACACTGGAATCTAGGGAAAAAACAGCCTTTCCTACCCCCTTTGGCTTTTACCAATTCTGAACAATGCCCTTTGAGTTGCATGGGGCCCAAGCCACTTTTCAGAGGCTGATGGACCAGGTCATGCAACTCCATTGGGGTGTGCAGCAGCATTATCTGGACAATGTAGTGGTCTGCAGCCAGACATGGGCCAAACACCTGACCATGTGACTGCAGCGTTGCGGTCACTCCAGGAAGTGGGCCTCACTGCAAACTTGGCCAACTGCCATGTGGGTATGGCTGAAACCACATACCTGATGTACACCCTGGGAAATGGTCAGATACAGCCACTGGTGAACAAGATCCAGGCCCTGCAGAGGTGTCCAACACTGAACCCCAAAATCCAGGTACACCAGTTTCTAGGATTGGCTGAGTACTACTAATGGTTTATACCACCATTGTCTTTGATTTCAAACTTCCTCACAGATATTCTGAAGGGTGACCATCCACAGAAGATACAGTGGACCAAAGAATGCATCTAAGCATTCCAGGTGTCGAAGGTTATGCCAAGAACAAGTCCTATATAACCCATACTTTTCAAAAGAGTTTATACTCCAGATGGATGCTTCTGGTGTGGAGTTGAGGGCAGTGTTGTCCCAAATTGTGAATGGGGAGAAACACCCCATCCTCTATTTGAGCTAGAAGCTATTCCCAACGGGGAATAATTACTCAGTTATTGAAAAGGAAGCACTGGCAATAAAACAGGCAGTGGAGGCCTTCAGATATAACCTGCTGAGTAGGACCTTCACCTTGATCATGGACCATGCACCCCTCTGCTGGTTACAGATCATGAAGGAGATGCATCCCCAAATAATGTTGTGGTACATAGCCTTGCAACCCTTCTCCTTCCAAATCCATCATAGGGCCAGAAAGGCCCATCTCAACGCAGATTTTTTTCTCATGGGAGGAGGATATATTCATGGAAGGAAGCAAAAAGGGTCTTGAGGTGGATGGCATGGACTCACTAGCCCCTGCTAAGGAAAGGGTTAAAGAGAGTGGTTGGGCTGTTTTGGCCCTGCCCTGTTTGTGCTTGCAGCCAATGCCAGGCCTGCAGGAGTGGTATAAAGGATCCAGAGAGGACTTTTAGTGCTTGCTGATATTGCCTAGCTCTTGGTTGGATGTCCTCTGAAACCTAAGCTATTACAGATTCTCAGGTTGGTGAAGGTGCCTAGGTAGATTATCCCCTGGGTAATTGGCCTGTTACAGTACCCTTTATCTAATCACTCTTTGTACCCAAGGAAGGTGTGTAGAGGAGATGTCAGGGAATAAGAGTGATGCAAGGAGCTGTACACTTCTATGTTCACAACTGCAGTTTAGCCCATGGGTTACAATGACCATGTGGAAATGCAAAGCCAGGGAAGGGGATGCCTCTGAGTCTCTGCAGTGACTGTGGTCAAGGGAAGCCTTCTTGTCCTTGAGATTCACTAATCCTAGTGTTGGCAGTGTCAGGACACTGAGACCAAGGCTATAGAGAAGAGCTCAGTCCAGGAAGTATGCCCTCAAGGACAGGGGCACAAGAAGCAGGGTGTAAAAGAAAGCCCTCTATTGCTGCTACTCCTTCTATGTTTGCCTTGGAAATAAAGCACCAGGCCCTACTCTCCAGGGAGAAGTCAATCAGAGCCTTCCATCGCCAGTTAATTCTCTTAATTTATTGCCAGTTAGCAACATGAGCCTTTTTAGCTCATTCCTGAGTAGTCAGTGCCATCCAGTGGAGAAAGCTCAGCATAACAGGATCTTCTTCACAAAACCACTGCTTCCAGGGAGATGAGCCCCCAGCTCTGACATTAATCTGTTTAAAGCGCTTTGCAAAGGAGCTCAATGATGTCACCCCTGTCTTGCAGATGAGGACAACAAGGTACCAACAGGTGAACTGACTTGCTCAAGGTCAGTCAGAGGTCATTGATGGGGCTGGGAGCAGAGCCTGGGCTCCTAGATCCCAGCTCAGTGTTCTAGCAGTACCCACAGTCTGACAGGCACCGGGCACATACCAAAGAGGTCTCAGTCTCAGGTGACCTTATGCCATTGAAAGGCAAGTGGAATAATGGAAATGTAAGGATGAGTTTTCCCCAGGTGTCTCAGCAGTATTGCAGTAGCCTCTCTGGTCAGGGGTCTATTCTGCACAGCAAAAAAACAGCCTCTGCCCTCGCACCTAATTAGACCAAGCAAGCAAAGAGTTGGGGGCTGCAATCTGAGGCACAGAGGTGAAGTGATTTAGCCAAATCACACAGCAGGGCAGGGTCAGAGCTTGGACTAGAACACAAGTCTCCCCTTTGCAGTTCCTTGTGGATCCACTTGCCTTAGGCCCCACTGCATCTGTCTGACAGGATGGAAGAGAGAAGCCTAGACATTATCAGATCAGCACAGAACAGCTTCATCTCTGATATGGCTCCCAGCTCCCTCTTGTGCTCCCGTTCTTGCTTCACCCAGCAAAGATACTGCTGCCTGTTACTGCTCCCTCCTTTTTTTTCACCCAGCTGGAAGGCCCAGCATGAGTGCAGTGAATACTTTCTAGCTCAGCATTGATGCTATGCTGCTTCAGGAGGCACAGTGTAATCTGAGGATATTGCAAATCTGCTTTAAAAAGCAATCCCACCAGCCCAGGGGTTGTCTGACAAACACCCCACTGGTAGGATCCACTGTGGAGCTACTCTGTCTGGTCTGCCAGACTACTGGCAGACTATTGGAAGTTGCAGGGCTTGGTTTGCCACAATCCAGGGCCCTGGGACCTCAGTGAACATGGTGATCAATAGCAGACAGGTTAGAGAATCAACACAGCCCTGGTTGTCCTCCAGCCACTTCACTGCCACTGCCTCAGCCCTACCTCCCTGGCTGCTGGCCACCACCATGCACCTTGTATTGGAGCTAGAGCTAGAGCTGCTATGATGACACAAGGCACCTGGTGGGCACTGGAGTGGTCTTCATGTGCCTCAGGTTAGCTGGAGCTGCTGCTACCACTTCCTCACACCTGCTGCAAGGAGCCCTGCAGTCTGGATTTGGCCTGGGCCCAAGGTGAGTTTGACACCCTGCACTAACTCATCTTGCTTTGCAGGACCCTGTGGACCGGGAGAAGAACAGAGATCATGCTCACCTCACTGATGCCCTCCTCATTGCCGCTGCACACTGCTGCTTGGCCCCAGGCCTGGGCACTGGCTGCCTCAGTTCAGAGGCAAGGGTTATAGCACTGATCTCTAGCCTTAGCTGTGACTTTGTGCAGTGCCTTCATCCAGACAGGGACACATAATGGGCTGATCCTATGGGAGCTCATATGGCTGAGAACATATTTCCTCTGCCCCTTCTACTTTGGGGGTGGAGATGAGGGGAATGGAGGGGTGAGACCTAATAAAGGATAGATACCACAGCTTTGCCAGGAGAGACAAAAGCTCATGGGTGATCCTAATGACAGAACTGAGCAGATGGTGCTGAAATCTGCTTGAGAGGGGAGAAAGAAATAGCCCAGGGGCTCAGAGTACTACATGCCCTGAGAATCCTGTTCACCTGACCTCCTGCTCCCAATGCAGCAGACTAGCCCTTCCCCTGTCTTTGCAGAGAGCTGTGAAAGGAGGCTCCAGGCCCTCATTCCTCCTCTCTTGCTCCTCCTGGGTTACCTCCCTTGCTCAGGCTGGCAACCTGCTGCACCAGAGGCTGAAGTGGAAGGCAGGGTTGGAGGTTAAATAGAGGGCTGCCACAAAAAAGAGGCTTGGAGATGCATCTAGTTTGCTTAGTGCTGCAGCATGTGGGAGCTCTGAGGAGGACAAAAGAGGGCCCTGAGGGAAGGTACTCAGAGCAAGGAAGGATGGGCAGGGAAAAGGATGTCAGCACCAGAGAAGCAGCCTGGAACAGGCAACCACCTGCACCTGATGTTATAGCCTGAACCTGGATTTATCTGGAGACAGAGCCCTCTAGCAAGCAGATAACAAAAGTGCCCTTACAGTGAATACTCTGGGCTCAGTCTCAAGAACTCTGGATTCAGCTCCTGGATCTGCTATAGATTCTCTTTGTGTCCTTGAAGAAATCATTCTGTCTGTCCCTGCATCAATTTCCAGTCTTCTGCATGGTTGCTGTGTTGCCTTTCTTCCATCTGGTGTCTGTCTCCTCTATTTAAACAATAAGCTCTTTGAAGCAGGTGCTGTCTTTAACCTGGTGTTTATATAGCACTTAACACAAGGGCTGTGATTTTGACTGGGGCTATCATAATAGCACTAGGATGAATGAAAAGGTAGGAGGGGAATAAATGTGAGATCAGCTGAGTGCTTTGGTGACTGATGTTATTTCCATAAGGAAGGATCATGCATTATACCTATTGCCTGCAGTCTCATCACATTGTATTGTGATTCCTTTGGAGCTCTCATGTGGAATAGGGTCAGGGCTGTATGTGATACAGAACAGGTAGCAAAGGATCACAAAGCCTCAAGTTAGATTCCTACAGTAAAAACTTCTAATAACCCCTGGGGAATGGTGTCCCACTGATTACACCCTGAGATTTTCCACCTCTAAAGCCAGTGCTCTTCTGCCTGCTGTTGCTCAGGTTATTCTCTGTGCAGCTGTCTCCAGACTGGTTAGTTAAGTCTGGAGGCAGGCTAGAACACTGCTTGCAGTGTTGATAGTCTTTTGTCTCTTGAGGATTTAAATAACCTCCCTTTCCCACAGCATGAGACCTCAGCATCTTGAATAAATGATGGCTCTCTGAGGTAGGGAAGGCTGGATGGGGCCTGAGGCACAGAGACTTAAGGTCCAGATCCTCAAAGGTGTTTGGGTCATTAACCTTGGGTTGCTCAAGGTCACACAGGAGGACTGCAGGGAATTGAACCCAGGTCTCCTCATGACTAGGCTAATGGCCTACCCATTGCATCCTCTCCTCCCAGAGGCCCCCAGGTAGTAGGAACACTGCAGGCACCTGGCGTTCTAATTTAACCATGCACAATAAACTTGGATAATTAGCTGGTTGGCTGCTGGAATAATATACAGTGCATAGCACAGACAAAATGTAATAGCACTCCTGGTAGCTAGCAAAGGGGGAGCTTAGTTCTTCATCTCATCTAATGGTTCTGGAGAGCTGGGGGGAAGGGTCAACAGCTAAGAAAGAAAGGGGAGCTTGACAAGCTCTTTCAAAATCTGTCTGATAATGTATGTTGATCATAGTTTCATAGTTTCTAGGGTCAGAAGGGACCTGAGCAGATCATCTAGTCCAACCCCCTGCCATGGCAGGAAAGAGTACTGGGATCAAACGACCCCAGTAAGGTGGTCATCCAACCTTCTCTTAAAAACCCCCAGGGTGGGAGCCTGCACCACCTCACTTGGAAGCTGGTTCCAGACCCTAGCTTCCCTTGCTGTGAAGTAGCACCTCCTGATGTCCAACTTAAACTTTCCCTCCGCCAGCTTGTGACCATTGTTCCTGGTCACTCCTTGCGGCACTTGGGGGAACAGGGACTCCCCCAGCACCTGCTGATCCCCCCTAACCAGTTTATAACAGGCCACAAGATCCCCCCTCAGCCTTCTCTTTTGAAGGCTGAACA